TTGGGGCCCAAACCCAATTCCAAACTTCCACCTTATAAACCACACCAAAGTTTCCTAACTTTCCTATGTGGGATAAGTGTTTGACAAATCAAATTCTTCCATAATCCTTAGTTTATGTGGGTTACTTTAACGCTTAATATTTCATTCAATTTTAAATGGTTTTCGATAAATAAATATATCACGTTAATCATCTCGCGGAGTAGAACGTGAATATGCTAGGTCCCGTACTATTTAAAAGGTGGGTCCCACTGAAATTTGGGTTCAAATTTGACCCATTAAACCATTTTTTCCAACAATCCCCCACATGAATGAAATATGTTGGCCTTTATTCCAAACGATAACATCTGATATGTTTTTTCAAAGAAAAAATTGAAGAAGACTGCATCGGGATAAGTAGTCAATGACTTTGAACTTTCTCTAGTAAAATCTATCGGAATTCCTTAGCCAATCAGTAACAAGTTGCTTTGAACAGTCAGCCGTTTGTGGAAACCTAGACAATAGAAGTCACACAGTTTTTCTTTTAACACAGTTGGTTCTCACGTTTGTGTCCATTTTGGCCTTGGACACCTCCTGGTTCATGAGTGATTTTTAGAGAATTCATGTTTACCTAATTCTCTTAGAAGCGGCCCCTTCTCACTCACATAGGTGATTTCCATAAAGAGTATTCTGCTATACTCCACTTGAACAAATCAAGATATAGAAATCATTAAAAGCGTATCTTAACCTATTTCGCGGCAGCTGGGCACTGGCTCATCATAGGAATGGGTAGAAGTAAAATCTTCCCAGTGCATACTAAGTTTTTCACAGTTCGGTTGTCCCATTGAACCTAGATCTTGGGATCTCCAGTCAACTAGGTTGGGTTGCCACCATGAAAACTTTTGATTATTTTATTAGTTTTAATCCCATCCCCTTCGATGAACTTTCGACTTGCTCTCTTGTTAAACTTTTAGTTAGCGGATCCGCAATATTCTCTTTTGATTTCACATACTCTATAGAGATAATGCTAGTAGAGAGCAATTGTCTAACAGTATTGTGTCTACGACGTATATGTCGAGATTTACCGTTGTACATTGTATTTTGTGCCCTTCCAATTGCTGATTGACTATCGCAATGGATGCATATAGCAGGCACTGGTTTTATCCAACATGGAATATCTTCTAGAAAGTTTCGTAGCCATTCGGCTTCTTCTCCAGCTTTGTCTAATGCAATGAATTCAGATTCCATTGTTGATCTAGCTATACATGTCTGTTTTGAAGATTTCCATGATATTGCAGCACCTCCAAGTGTAAAGACATATCCACTTGTTGATTTGGAGTCTTTAGTATCTGATATCCAATTTGCATCACAGTATCCTTCAAGTACTGCTGGATATCTCGAATAGTGTAATCCAAAGTTTTGGGTATGTTTTAAATACCCTAAAACTCTAACAATAGCTTTCCAATGATCAGTGCTTGGATTACTTGTATATCGACTTAGCCTACTAATTGAATAGGCAATATCAGGTCGAGTGCAATTCATGACATACATTAAACTGCCAATAATACGAGAGTATTCCAATTGAGACTTACTATCACCAGTATTGGAAACAAGATGCATACTAACATCCATAGGTGTTTTCATAGGAATAATATTATATTTCTTGAATTTATCAAGAATATTCTCAATGTAGTGTGATTGACATAATATAAGACCATCAGATGTTCTAGAAATTTTAATTCCTAATATAACATCGGCCACACCTAAATCCTTCATTTCAAATTTACTTGTTAGCATCCTTTTTGTAGTTTGAATTATGGTATCATTGTTACCCATAATCAACATGTCATCTACATATAAACATACCATGACATATCCATTTGGAGTGTTCCTGACATAAACACATTTGTCACACTCGTTAATTTTGAAACCATTTGACATCATAACCATGTCAAATTTTTCATGCCATTTCTTAGGAGCTTGCTTTAATCCATATAATGATTTAACAAGTCGACATACTTTCTTTTCTTGTCCTGAGGCCACAAATCCTTCAGGTTGCTCCATATAAATTTCTTCATCCAATTCCCCATTCAAAAATGCCGTTTTAACATCCATTTGATGTATTTCCAAACCATTCAATGCTGCTATTGCAATAAGCATACGTATGGATGTGATTCTTGTCACAGGAGAATAGGTATCGAAATAATCAAGACCTTCTTTTTGCTTATAGCCTTTAGCGACAAGTCTTGCTTTATATTTGTCAATTGATCCATCTGCTTTCATTTTCCTCTTGAAAATCCATTTACATCCCAAAGGCTTATTTCCGGGAGGGAGGTCTACTAATTCCCAAGTATGATTTTGTAGTATGGATTCAATTTCACTATGAACAGCTTCTTTCCAATATGAAGCTTCGGTTGATGACATAGCCTCCTTAAAACTCTGAGGTTCATTTTCTAACAAATATGTTAGAAAATCAGGCCCAAAGGAGGTTGACGTCCTAGCCCTCTTGCTTCGTCTAGGTTGTTCATTTACAGATTCTTGATCTATAGTCTCTTCGTTTTCACAAGATCTCTTTTGTGAATTTGATTCACCTTGCATATTATAAGGAAAAGTATTTTCGAAAAATGTAGCGTCCCTTGATTCAATAATTGTATTAACATGCATATCAGGTATTTCAGACTTATATACCATAAATCTGTACGCATTACTATGGTAGGCATAACCAATGAATACACAATCAATGGTTTTAGGTCCTATCTTAACCCTTTTAGGTTTAGGAACTACTACCTTAGCCAAACATCCCCATACCTTCAAGTATTTATAATTAGGTTTGTGACCTTTCCATACTTCATAAGGTATCTTTTGCGTTTTTCGATGTGGTAGTTTGTTAAGAATATAGTTGGCAGAAAGCAAGGCTCCCCCCCACAAGTTCTGCGGTAATCCAGAACTTATTAACATAGCATTCATCATCTCCTTCAATGTTCGATTCTTGCGTTCAGCAATACCATTAGATTGAGGAGAATAAGGCGCGGTAGTTTGATGAATAATTCCGTGTTCCGAAAAGAATTTCTCAAATGGTGAATCATATTCACCACCTCTATCACTTCTTATGGCCTTAATCTTTTTGTTAAGTTGATTTTCAACTTCTAACTTGTAGTGTTTAAACACTTCAATTGCTTCGTCTTTGCTTTTGAGCAAATACACATAGGAATATC